TTTAATCTGTGTAGTCTGTCCAGATGTTACTTCAGCAGAAAAATGGATTGCTTGTGTATAGGCGTTATATCCTGCCTGAGACGAGGTGCGCTGTATACTTTCCTGTTACATATTTCTCATTACACTTTGAGAAGATTCTCACTACCAGGGATGTTGGGAGTCTATTTAGCTGATTGTTCTTCCAGTTTTTTCTTGGTTCAGTTCCTACCAAGTGCAAGGTCTGCATGGAGTTTGTGTATATTTTACTCTGAAAATATAATTTTAAGGTTTTTTGGTAAAACCAGAGCTTGTTTTTCATGCAACACTTTACAAATACCTTGGTTGTATTTTGTTCCTCTCTTCAGGTCACTTACACTTTGTTCTACATAAATGCCATTTATAATAAACCTCACCGTTTAGTTTGAGGAATAATCTTTGCATCATTCTTTTGCAGATCTCTCAGAAGAAGCTGAAGAAGCAGAAACTCTTGGCTCGGGACTAAAAGCAATGTACATAAATAAACAACACCCTTCTAAATCCTCTTTGTCTTGTCCATCTAAATGTAAACAGAACACTGGTCTCTCCATGTTCGCGTCAATGTCGTTATTCCCATAGACATGAGACATGGGATGAGTTGACCAGTGTGGGTTGTAACCTCATGTCCCATGGGAGCCACTGGCCAACTGCTGTTAACAGATTGGAAATGCACACAATCCACCCCCTCCCACTGCCGAGCTGAGTGGTGCCACCACCATCTGACCTCCATTCCACTGCCAAAGGCCAATTTGAATGCATGCATGTCCTGGCACCCACGGGGGTCTACAGGAAATATGATGCAGTTAAGTGGGGGAGTGGCCGCAGTACACTGCGCTTGGCTGCACCCACCAGCATAGGATGTATGGGCAAGTTCCTATACAACAGCAGCCTAGGGTGAGTGTTGTAGGCCACATTAACAATACCTAAAGGCAACGGACTATAACAAATCAAGGTTTTTATTGCTGTCCCTACTGGGGTGACTCCCTCACTTCTGTTCCTGAGGACACCTTGACAGAATGACACTGGAACAGGTAGCAAAATTAAATCTGCCCAACTTGGGACACCAATAAATTTGAAGGATTCTTAAATGTTCTCCACTCTACTGAAAATCTGATGTTTCACCCTTTACCCCACTCCTGCTTTTCATCTACAATGTTCCTGAGTCACGGCACAGTTTAGTAGGTCTTCATGGAGCTCTCTTTTTGGATCAGGTGTCCTCTCCCTAGTTCAGAGGTAGGCATCCTTGGCACTCTGGCTGTGGTGAAACTCCAAATCCCATCATGCTTGTGGCTGTCAGCCTTGCAATGCCTCATGGGATCTTTAGCTACACAACAACAGGAGTGCCTGCCCTAGTTCTTGTAGCAGAACTGTTTTAGGGGTGTTACTCCAACCTGTTAACTGTTACCAAGCCCAAGGGGGGCATTTTTTTCTCATCTTGGATCTCAAAGTTTTCACTTCGGTTCCAGAAATTCCGAGAGTAGAGTCCACCAGATAGGCCATCGCCTCCCTTCTCCAGGAAGACTTTCTGGCCTCTATGAACATTAAAGATGCTTACCTATTTGTCTCCACTTATCTAGATCATATACCATTTGCTGGGAAGCCCTGGCACTACCACATTGCCGTTTTAAACTTCGCGTCATCACTAAGGAGTTTGCTGGGTCCTTTCATCAGGTCCAGTCATGTCAATGTTAAGCCTGATGAAGGGACCCTGCGTGGTCTTAAACACTAAATCTGTTG